CGAGTCGGTGCCGACCCATAGCGACCCTGTACAGGGTTTCCAAGGCTGTAAATCTTTACGGGAGCAGAACGCCTCATCTTTCTCCCTCAGAGCAGCTGGTAGTTTCGAACTGCTGACCTTAAGGTTCACAGCCCGATTCGTAACCACTGTGCTACCAGAGCTCCATATATATATATGACAAAGGGATGTGATATAACTCACACACACACACAAAAACCAACAATTACTCTTCTGGAATGTCCTGAACATAGATAACATCAAAGCCTATAGGAACTCCATCTAGGGCCAGGAACTCTGCTGTCACAACCACCTTGTGAGCTCCTTGAATTGCAGGAGTCCCCCAAAGATTTCTCCCTTCTGGGTCCAACAACTGCACAGTTTGTTTTCGCAAATATGACAACTTCACAGTGCCCCAGAGCTCACGCAAAGAAATGAGAGAATGGCTCAAATAAATGACCAAGATACAGAATCAGAAGATGTTTCTGAGGAAGAAAAGGTAATAGAACTAACTGAAAAAGAATACAAAAGAATGGTAATTGTTGTTGTTAAGTGCCTTTGAATCGGTTCCATCTCATAGTGACCCTGATAGGGTTTCCATGGAGCAGATGGTGAGTTTGAACTGCCGACCCTGTGATTCAACAACCTTTCGGTCCAGTGCATTATCCCACAGTACCACATCAGGACTCCAGAATGATAATTAGATACCTTCAAAGGATCAACAGAAAGATAGAGGAAAGCAAGGGGAACACAATAAAAACTTTAGAAGAATTCAGGAAAATGATGTAAGAACAAACAGACAAAATAAATGCAAATTTTGAAACAATACAAAACTTGCAGTTAGAAATCCAGAAGATTAATATTAAGATCCCAGAAATGGACAATACATTGAAAGGGCAAAGGAGGAGGAGATGCCAAGCAATGGAAGCCCAAATTAGTGAGCTTGAAGATAAAATCTCAATGCTAGAAGAACAATCAGAAAAAAATTTAAAAGTCCAAAAAAAGCCTACGAATTATGTGGGACACCTTATGGTGATCGGAATTCCGAAACAGGAAGAGACAAGCACAGAGACGATTATAGAAGAGTACTGGAAGAAAATTTCCCTAACATCATGCAAGACAAGCATACAAGAAGTGGAACGAGCCCCAAACAGGATACATCCCAAAAGAAAATCACCAAGACATATCAAAACCAAACTTTCCTAAATCAAACACAAGGAAAAAACCTTGAGAGCAGCTTGAGAAAAATGAAAAGTTACCTACAAAGAAGAACAAGTAAGACTAAGCTTTGATTTCTCAGCAGAAACCATACAGGCAAGAAGGCAATGGACGCTTGGCTGTCTTTTGAATCTCGGTTTTCCTTGCATATATTATAAAACAGACACTGGAGGGGGAGAGAAAGGAATAGCCAGAAACATCACCACAGAAAGCTTGTAAGTCCGTCTTCTGCCTATAACTGACTAGAATAGCTAAAATGGGGCTACAATGTGCCCGGTGAAGGAGGCTTCCTACAGAGCCTCTGCATTACATAAGACTATAGGTGGAAGCCTGAACCACATTCAGATCTTCAGAGATGGGAAATTTCCACTTGAAAGGACTAACAGATCAGCCTGGAGCGCCTAGAAGAACAGAAGATACTTCTTGAAAGAAAGGCCTACAGGAAAAATACAAAACAATATAGGCAGACCGACTGTTACTACAATAACAAGCAAGTTGCTTGCCCAGGAGATATCAACGCAAGTGGTTGGGTCCCCTCAGGGCAAACCCCCTTCCAAGACTAAGACTCAATGGGAATACATGCTCTGATTGGTGACCATGCTCGTCACCCATAAAGGGAAGTGAGGAAAAAACAGCAATGAAGCGGCAAGATAAGCCCTACAATGTTCAATAGACTCCTGTGAACCCGGGTGGAGACCTGGTAGGCCAGCAGTGTGGCAAGACCTGGGGACTCTTGGGCCCAGAGTCAGTGACA